GTATAATTTTAATGTCCTGTTGGGCAAGTGCAGGAAGCATATAAATGGGGTTGGTACGATATGAGATAAAGCATAATCTCTCTGAATAAAAATAATCCTTCCTCATAAAAGCGTTACCTTCGTTTTGTTAAACAACAAAATCGCTGGGCTTCGCTGCCTGGAGGGCAGAGCATTGTCAACACTGAGCCCTGAAGGCGTTTCATGTACCTGGGTTGTTAGTCGAGTGCTCTAGCCGTGAAAGCAGAGCTCGAGGTGGGCTGTCTCAGCTGTGAATACACAGCAGAGCCCTTGTGGAGCCTCTACTATAAAAGGCAGCATGGAGAGGGCACATAATGCTCCTGAAAAGGGCTGTTTCCCTCCAAAGCTCCCCACTTGTCCCCAAAAGGCATATGCCGCAGGCTGGCCTGACCCTAGGGCTCCCTTGCCAGCGAAGGATGAGCTGGAGCCAGGCACAGGAGTGGTTTTGGTGACTTTGGTATCTCTTTTCTGCAGGTCAGGCCAAGGCCAAAGCTGCCCAGCCCACCAGGAGCGGTATCCAGAGGGCAGCCACCACTGGTCCCTGCACACCAGAGCTGAACCCAGGCGGTGAAGGTGTCCCAGCTCTGTTTTCTGTGCAGGATCCTGGGATCTGATTCAACCAGAGAATCTGGATCACGGAGAAGCACGAGCAGTGTGCTGGGCTTGGTGTGTACTGTCCACCTCAGCACACATCTGCTCATGGCATCCACCCACTTACATCCAGTCTCGAGGGTCCTTCCTTCCCTGCCACCACTCAGCCACAGCTGCCTACGGCCCCCTTTCTCCCCAACGCTCTTCTAGGTTGCAACAGTTCGCAGCTCAGATGTCTGCTTAAAAGCCTTTGGGACATTTCTCTTCCCGGAGCTTGTCCAGTTCCTCTTTGGCTACAACAACATCCTGAGAAGACAACTTGTGCAGCTCAGCTCTATGCTGCCTGGAGAACCACCCTCCTCATCTTCATCCTGAACCTGCCACCATGGACATCCTCCAGACCAGGACCTCTGCTTGCTTGGAAATGAGGATGGAAAACTGTCCTCAAATCCTGTCCACCTCTTCCTGATACGGACTGATGGCCTCAGTCCCGCTGTGTCACTGCCCTTCAAAGCATTCCCTCTGGCAATGGTTTCATAAACCTCCTGGTCCTCAAGACCCCGGCACAGATCCAGACATCGCTGTGAGCAGAGAGGGTCTGACCTTCCCCTTTCACTGGGGACTGCAGATTCAGTGGTTCTTGGCACTGTGAACCTACCCCCAAACCCTGAGGGAGTCACCTCTAGTCTCTGGGGTGCTGGAACAGGAGGCGTCACCTCCACATACCCAGCATGATCAAAGCAAGGCTCTTGACAGAACTGGGTGCCCAGAGGCAGGCCAAGGAAGAGGTGAGGAACCTGAATTCCTGGCTGATACTCCTTGATACGTAGGCAAGGGTGCTCCCAGAAATCCAAACACAGATCCACAGCAAGGGAAGGGTCCAACTGCCACAGACGGAGTCGCTTGGAATTGCATATGGCAAGAGTTGTACAAACAGCCCTCTCTAAAAACACCTGTTAAATGGGAAAACCAAGGTGCACAAAGCGCAGCAACCCTCCCAAAAAAAGCAGGGCTGTTTGGATCCTGCTCTGCAGCCTCCACTCCCTGAGCAGGTAGGTCAGGTGATTTAATTCTCCAGCCAACTTCTACGTGAAAACCTTCCTGGCTCTGCAGAGGCTTCAGAAGCTGAGGTCCGTCCCCCTCATCTGACAAACGCACACGGCAGCCTCACAAGGCGAGTACGAAGTGGCAAAGTTTTATTGTCCGGTTAGTAAAAGGCTTGCTTGGGTTTTTTTTTTAAATATGTGCAGGGACACACGTCCCTCCTGCAGGTTCACCTACTGATTACACTTTCAAAGTGCTACATTACAACTGTGAAAATACCGGCACTTCACAGCAGAAATCGTGTGCTTTTATGGACTCTGAAGTGGTGATAAAGCAGCTGTTTCACCAGGGCGATGCCACGCGACAAAGCAAAGCGTACAAACCCTTGCTGAAAAGTAGTGGGAAACATATGTGGGGAAATTGGCAGTGAGTAAAGCATCAGAGAGGAAGGCCTTGGTACGGATGCTGCTGGTTTGGGATCTTGGATGTCCTCCAAATCACACAGAAAGCGCGTGGAGAAGGCAGGCGCTCTTTAGCAGGCTGAGTTTTTGGATGGGTTCTGCAGCGTGGTTACGCAGGCTCGCCCACTCTGCTTTACCACGTGTGTTCTGCAGTGCTCTGTAGTAAACGTGAGACTTTTAATGAGGCAAAAGGATTTGGGGAGATTTCCTTACCCTCTGCAAATAAACAGCAACTCTCAGGGCTGAAAATTCTGTACAAAACCCTCAGTGACAAAATTATGGAAGCTGAGGGAAAAAAACAAACCAGCTTACTGGGGACTGCTGAGGAATCCCTGGTTCTTCTCCATGCTCGTGGGGAGGGTTTGGACAAGTCACCAAGCTATTTTCAACTGGAACAGCCCCCACATCCCCTCTCCCCTCTCTACGATTCTATGATTCTCCCAGAGGAGGCCAAGCGCATTTAAGAGCGCAGTCCCTTCCTCTAACCGATAAAGCACTGGGCAGTGAGCGGTGAACATAGCATCACAGAATGGTTTGGGTTGGAAGGGAACTTAAAGATCATCTAGTTCCAACCCCCTGCAATGGGCAGGGACACCTTCCACTAGACCAGTTTGCTCAAAGCCTCATCCAGCCTGGCCTTGAACACTTCCAGGGATGGGGCATCCACAGCTTCTCTGGGCAACCTGTTCCAGTGCCTCACCACCCTCTCTGTGAAGAACTTCTTCCTGATATCTAATATCTAAACCTCCCCACTTTAACTTTAAACCTGTTATCCCTTGTCCTATCACTACAGGCCCTTGTAAAAAGCCCCCCCCAGCTTCTTTATAAGCCCCTTCAGGTACTGGAAGGCTGCAATAAGGTCTCCACAGAGCCTTCTCTTCTCGAGATTGCCTGGCAAGCAGCCCTGTCAGATCAAAATCTACACATACAGCACATGTGCTTATTGTCCTGATCATTTACGGGAGGCACTTCTTGCATTTTTGGGTAAAGGGAAAGCATTAGGAGCTGCCGTTCACCCCATAATGGGGCTGACAGACCCTTCCCACTGCAGGCTGAGCTTCGGGCACGATGGCTCACCTCCCTCCTGCTCCCCTGCCAGCAGGTCGTGTGCCAGGAAGCTGTGCCAATCGGCAGGAATACAGGAGGAATAAGTTACTGGATGCAGGAAAGCAGGGAAGAAGCATCAGCCTGGATTAGGAGTGGAGCCTGGTATCAGGACCAGGCCACTGCAACAGTTTAAAATCCATGGCATCCTTGTGGGCTCGCCAGATTCCAACAGTGCCCTCCCACCGCACAAGCTGCCCGCTGCGCAAATCCACCACCAGATCTCCACGTCTGGCTCAGCCCTACCTCCAGCCACAGCTCCCCTGCTGCCCTCCAGCAGGGTCTGTGTGGAGGAAAGTCTGCACCAGCGTCTTCAGAGCTTAAAAAACCCTAAGAAATCCTCTAGATATGATAACAATCTAACTACAGAAAAGGACTTTTGTTACTGTTGTGCCCCTGTGCTTTTGGGAGGGAGCAGATGAGGCGGTGAACAACCTCCAGCCACAGCGACGGAAGCGGGCAGCAAGGCTGGGCATCACTAAGCTCTGCCCAGAGCTAGAAATGCGTGCCCACCGCAACTGAACAGGGCTGCTGCTGCCCCCGAAAGCCGTCCCGGGCAGGGGGATGCGGGGGATATTTATTTGGGCTGGAGGATTTTATCTTGGAAATCTCAGAGCCCAATCCCCTCAGATCTCACAGCTGATCCCTGGGGATAGCTGGGAAATTACAGCCCGCAATTTTAAATGGGACCTTCAAGATGACCGAGAGCATCTCAACTACTCAACCAGCACGCAGAGTATGTTATTTGTGTCCCAGCCTGGACACGTTTCCTATATTCCTATCCTATAGCACCAGGCATGGGGAAGGGTGAGAACTACATCCACCCTCCTAGCCAGGCTCCAAAAATACAGCCAAAAGCCAACAATGCAGTATGGGACCAAGTCCACTTAATGCTGGCATTGCGTGAAATGTTCCTCCTAAAGCATCCCCTTTGCCTGGATGGAGGAAGGTGAAATGAGGTTGGATCCTCTAAAAAGCTGGTTAGATGTGGCTCTTTCCTGGCCCTCAGCTTCATCGCCAGAGTGTCAGTGCTGCATGAAGCGATCCCAGCGCCCATCCCTGACCCTCAGGAGCCAGGGAGGATGCTCCAAAGCAAAGCACTAAAGCAGGACAACAGCTCCTGCGTGAGGGGACAGCTTGCAGGCAGTCTGGCCTGGCGCATCCTCATCGTGGGGACGTCTCTTGTCGCAAATGAGCGGAAGGCAGCGCGACTCGCTGCGCCGGGGTCCTGCCCGCACAGCCAGCACTGGGGAAAGGAGCAGCAGAGACGAGCAAGGGTACCAGCAGCAGCGCCAGAGACACCAACTAAGGCAAGTTCAGCCTGCTGAAGGCGGCTGCGCAGAGCCTCGGGCACGTTTTCAAGCTGAGCAGAGCCAAGAAAATCAGCTCCACTTTTACAGGATGTCTGCACTGCCTGGAGGGACGTGGGGGGTCACACTTTGCACCACCCCAGATCATGTTTTCCTGGGGCCTCCTGGGACCAAACAAGGAGAATCACCATGAGGACTTCCTTTTTTGACTCAAAAGGTCGCTCTCTAAGTGTAAAAGAAGGTGGCTACAGACAAGATGGTTGGGAAATGGAGAGGAACAGACCCAAACCCAACAGCATCACACAACCAAGGCCTCTTCCAGCAAAACTTTTCAGAAAGAGATTTAACACCACCCCTTCTGTCCCTCCCCACCCCACTGCTCTTCAGGCTTCAAATGTGTTGGCTCAATTCCTGCTAGCAAGAGGAATTGCCCAGGCTGAGTGATGCTCGTGGCTTCCCATCCCTGCCAGCGCTATTTCTGCAATCGAGTGTACACCAGGAACGCCACAGCTGAGATCACAGCGATGCCCACAGCTGGAATGATGTACTGCAGAGGCGGTCCGTCATCCCCTGGGGGGGCTCTGGCCTGAGACGAGCTGGTAGCGGTGCCAGGGCCCCTGCTCGAGTCAAAAACTGGACTGTTTCCAAGGGAAATGGCTCCATCTTGGAGGTCATTGCCTGCCCCGAGCTGGGTGCTGGGGTTATGGTCCACACGGACCTCGTGGGTGCCCAGGGAGGTGCTGTCCCAGCTCAGAGGCGAAAGGGAGTCTCTGCTTGCTCCAGCTGCCTCCTCTTCCGAAGGATCTTCAGGAGCCACTGGGGCTGGGCATACCAAAGGGACTCTGGAGGGCATTCCTCCTGAGCTCGAGCTATCCGTGCTCACCAGAAGCGGGTCACTGTTAAAGGTGAGGCTGCAGCCTCCAGAATAGGGGCCACTGGGCTCCCGAGTGCTCAGGCATCTGCCGGCTGCCTCTGGGCTCTCTCCAGCCACGGAGGAGAGGACGCCTGGCTTGCTGAGCTCCACATCCCTCTCCATGTTGCTGCAAGGCGCCCAGATGCTTGTGGCAGAGCTCACCCGGGAGGGCGTCCTCCCAGTCACACCTTCAAAGCTTCCTACAACAGCTGTGCCCAGGAAAGGGTCTGCCAAGGCCGGGAGCACCTTTGGAAGACAATGAGAGGGGCTGGGTGCCACAGGCAGCACCCATGTGGCCTGGTCTCGGGGACCTACATCGCGTGATGGGCCCACTTCAGCGCGTAACCACCACATCTCCAGCCACTAACAGCAAGGTTGGGTCACGAGTGACTCCCAGGGCTAGGAGAGTGAGTGGGGCGGGCAGGCCTCTGGGGGCCTTCGGGATTCAGGAAGGAAGGAAGAGGAGACAAACAGTGAGGAAAGGGGTGGAAAGGGGCACCTGAAAGCCAGGAGGCTGACTGGCAAGTCAAGAAGGGGAAATAAGGAGTCAAAGCCTGACAAACCTTGGCTCCCTCCTCCCATGCTCCAAAATACAGCGACGGATGGGGACATGACCACAATGGAAGAAGAAAGCCCTGAATAAACTTGCCACCAGCTCAAAATCTTACACTGCATCAGCAGAAAATCTCCCAACCAGGGTGACTTTGCAAGGACCTGAATGAAACGCAAACAGCAACAGGAAAGAAAGGTCACCTACCTTCTCCTTTGTCGGCACGGAGGGGGTGCTGCCAGTCGCCTCCCCCATGGACAGCTTTTCCTCTTGTACAGGAGGCTTTGCAGAGGTGTTGCAGGATGGGGAAGCATCTCCGGGTGCAGGGGTAGCGACCAGGGTAGCTGATTCCATCCAAGTGTCTTTCGGGGAGAAAACAAAGCGTGTTGCGTTAAATCGGGAGACTTAAAACGTGAGTTTTGCTCTTCCTTGAGGATGCTACAATGGGATACTCCTGGAGCTCAGGCGGCGGCACGGGGAGTGGGACCCAGCACCACTGGGTGCTGCCCGTGTGGTCCTGGCTCTGCCGTGGCACCCGAGCTCCCCCAGTAGGTGTGGGTAAAATAAACCTGATGGAACCAGCCAAGCCAGAACCCCCAGTATATTCCCCCCACTCAGACAGCAGGACGGCCCTCTGCTGAAATGAGGGTGCAGACATTCATCCAGCGCATTTCACATCGGAAAAGAAGCAAGTGCCTCTGTCAAGTCCTGGTTAGGACATTGTGCCAAAATACAATAAGGAACTGCAACAACAATTGGAAGGAAAACTAGGAGCAAACAAGCAGCCAGGCTGGATTTCTGCACAACCCAAGCTCAGTTCCTTCCTGGAGAAGGGCACTGCAGCCCAGATGGGAGAGGAGATGGGCAACAACAGCACAGAGCTGTTCTCTACACCTCCACCATTGCTCACGGGCCACGAAGGTACACACAACCTTGGGCTGTCCTGTACCAACAGACACAACTACACTGTTATTTGGGAGTGTCCCCATGGCCTCCTGGCAGCCTTACCCCTTACCTGCCCCTTCTCTGCACTCTCCATCCTCACTGTTCATCTGTCAGCACCCTGAACCCTGCTCCCCATCAGCACGGTAGCTACACGGAACTGCTGGGAAGAAAACCCACCTCCAACTCCTCTGTGCATCCTGCCCAGCTTCTGCTCTGCATCGAACTGCTCCTGTATGAGGAGGGGGCTGCGCACATCCAGGAAGCTGCCCAGGGTCTCGCCGTACTCAGGGCCAGGCACAGCCTGACTTTTTGGCAGTGAGCGTGTGGGCTGCGGCCCTCCACTACAAGCAGTATTCTCCCGCACCAGGGGTGACTCGGTGGAGACGTAGAAGTTTTCTTCAGGCTCATTCCTGGGCTGCTCGGGGCTGCGAGCAGAGCACGCGTCCCTCAGCGGAAGAGACCTGCTCAGCCCCAATCCCGGCACGCCGCGGTGCAGGTGGTTGGCGTTGCCAAAACACCCGTTACGCACACACACCGGGTGCTGCTGGTGGCTCAGCCAGTCCCGGGCCCCCTCAGGGGGAGCAGCTGATGGCATGGCCGCGCTGGCTGTTCTGGAGGTCTCCGTTGCTGCCTGTGCGGCCTCAATGGGGTGTGAGAGATGCCTCTCTTCACCGTGCCCATCGCTCACTCCATCACAGACCACGCTCCCAAGTGGAGGCGGCCGGGGACTCTCTTGATCCAGGGCTTTGGGAAGCTAGAAGGAAAGGAGCCGTGTTAAATGGCTGTGCCAGGATGAGGGGTTCAGGGGTTCTGAGTTCCTGACCCAGTGACCTACGCGAGCCTGGTGATGAAGGGGATCTCTCCTTGGCACCCCCGCGCAGGAGGACTTCACAGGGCCAGGGGCTGTGGAGGGGACTAACAGAGTGGATCCTGCACTCCCATCCTTGGAGGGGAAGCAGGAGAGAGGAGCAGTTAAGGGGTTGTAGTCAGGCTATAAGTTACCAGATGCAGCAAGCACGCAGCAGACATCCTCAGGGAGAGGCTGCTCGGGGTGTCCCTGAGCGAGCCGGGCCCTACCACAGGCTCCCCACGTCCCAGTCCCAAAGGGACCTTTGTGTCCCCGTCTGATGCACGCGCCGCTCACCGACTCCTGCACTGGGGCCCTGGCATCCAGGTCCATGCTCACGGCAGTGGCAGCACCGGGCAGAAGAGGTGGCTGGCTGCTGACAGGCAGGTCTCGGCACGGCTTCTCAGCTAACGGAGCGCCCGGAGCAGGATTTGGCTCCAGGGATGGTGTCTGGACACTGATGGAGGAGACAGCAGGACGGGCATCGCTGGCTACGAGAGGCAAGGAGGCAGTGGTGGGAGCTGGGGCACCTGGAGGAGCCAAGACGGTTCGTGAGTGGGGACTCTGGGGGAGTAAAGCTGAGGAGGCAGAGAATGAGCCTGGGGCTGAGGCAGCCCCTGGCGTGTCCCTGCTCTGTCCCCACACTGGCCAAGCCCATAGCACCCCTTCATACATCCTTCCATCTCCCCTCTAGGTGACAAACTCAGCATATCGCCAATCCGAGCGCATTCGAACAAGGACCCTGTCATCCCCAGGAACTTCACCGGGATGAGGGACACCCCTGGGGATGGCCACAGACACTCCCAGGCCCCTGGAAAGCCGGGGCAGGAAGAGAGGCTCAGCGGACACCAGTGGGGGCTGCAGCCCCTCACTATGCGTGGTTCGGGTCCCCATCTCCACCAGACCCCCGGAGCAGCACCCAGGGACGACAAGGCTACGCACGGGCTTGCCAGGAGTCATACACGTGCTGCAGCTCGTCGGCCAGGTGCCCGGCGTTGTTCTGGCGCAGCGCCTCGATGAGATCCGGCACCCAGCCCTGCCGGCACTTCAGGTACTGGTAGAACTTATAGACAGTCGCCTGGCTCCCCCGCATCTCCTCCCGGGTGTGGAGCTCATCCTGAACAAAACACATGGGGCAACTAAGAGAGGGTCTGGCTTAGAGGCAAGGCAGCTATGCGTTGCCTGAGCTATATGCTGGGGAAAGGAGCCTGGCAGGACTCAGGGAAGCAGGAAATTACTCTGTCGGCATCGGTCAGGCAGCTGAGGGAATCGGCCAGCGACGCCACACGGATGTTCTTGAAGTTCTTGAGGTTTTTCAGAATGTAGTCGTACACTTTGTCTTCGGCGAAACCCATCCCGGCTCAGCACCTACCAGAAGACAGCGAGACTTCACGTGAGCGGAGGGCTGCTGGCAAAGCTGGGCTGTTCTACAGCAGCTTGGGATTTCCACAGGAGCCTCTCGGCACAGACAAAAAAACGATGGACGCCAGGGGAAATCCTGGGCAGAAAACACGCAACGAAGAAACACTCAGCTTCCAGTCCAGCTCTCGGCCCCGCTTCCCAAGCCCAACTCCCTTCCGCCATTGCCCAGCCCCTATTTACTCTTTTTCGGTGCTTTGGGGCCGGGTGGATCCCAGCCCGGGTCTCGTGACACGAGTGGCGCAGGGTCACGCCGGGCAAAGGGGGGACCAAGGCTGAGATCCTGCCTCAGGGCCTGGGTGACGTGGCTTCTGGAAAAGTATGGCGGAAGAAAAGCCATAAAACTCCTTACCCCAGGGAAAGGGCAGCCCGGGAGGGGCAGGGCCCTGCCTGCTTCCCTGGCCGGG